TTTAAGTCTCTCCCAACTCAAAATTCTGTAATCAAATCCTATTTTACTTCCAAAATGACTTCTATGGTAGAACCATTAACATTCTTTCCAAAATTAAAAATATATATATATATACAAGAAAGCAGTAAAAACAAACTGCATATACAATAATTCAAAGTATGTCTAAAAAAAAAAAGCAGGGAAGATACTGCATCTCTAACACCTAGCTAACACTGTATTTGGATATAATAGGTGCTCAGTAAATGTTTATTAAAAGACTAAAAGGAAATACACAAAAATAAAAATTTCTAGGTTAGGGGGATGATATGCGAGGTATACTGTTTCATCTCCTTTGCTCTTTCAAGGTTTTTTTTTTTATTGTGAGAATGTACTACTTTGATAATTGGGGGAAAATCACCATATTAAACTGGTTTCTTATGACTTTGAAACTATGTTCATGTACGTTCCTTCTAAGTAGGACAATGATTTCTTAGCTATTCTCCTTGAATCCAATCTCTCTATTCTTGATATCATTTTGTTATCTAAAAAGCAAATGAATCTTTCTTAAATACCCACTCATATGTTTCTTATATAAGTCTCTATTTTTCTTTCACTCAGACACTTCCAATACTCTGTTATTTCTACGTATCAAATCTCAATGTCTTCTTTGGTCTCATAAAACATTTCCAGTCTTGCTTTGCTTCCAGTGACTTTCCAAGCCAGTTAGCTCAGGGTCCTGTGAACATGAGTAGGACTACTTAATACCCCTCTAGTCTTGGCTCTAATGTAACAGCCAAATGGAATGACTTGCCCTCTAACTATTCAGACATAGTTGTAGCTTAGTTTCCTCTCCGACCTCTTAGAATACTCTAGCTCTCAAAGATTTTTTTTACACATAATTCCTTTAGGGTTGTATATTCAGCAAAATTTAGTGCTTGATCACATAAGGTGTCATAGTTCATGTGTGGCAACCTTTTGTCAACTAAGCCTGTTAGCTACTTGTTGTAAAAAGCTACTTGTTGTAATTTATACACACTTCATTATTCCCACTTTTGCTGAGCACTAGCTCAATCATAAGGACCTTCTGGGCAGTCATCAAATACTTGCTCATTAAAAGGAAGATGCTTGAAAACCAAATACTACCTACACTGCTGTGGGGATAAGTAGCAATCAAACCTTCAAGCCTTCTAATTTAGTTTTTCTGGCTTTTCACAGCAAATTCCAGATTATCCTATATATTTCCATTTTAAAGTAAATATTGCAAACACCATTGGGCAAGTAAGACATATGGCAATATAGAATGCTTTGGTAGCACTATGGCTGTGACTTAAATTACTGTGGATCAAACTGCCAGAAGCTGAGAAGATAACTGCATTTTCCTCTTCCTTTATCCTCTAGTGAGGACAGAAGATAACTATATTATGCCTATCGATGAAAATATTTAACAATAAAAAACTGAAAACACTGCTTTATAACTTAAATAATATAGCCTGACTACCAAATGTTTTAGTCATAGGATCTCTTGGAAGCTTGAATGGAAGCAAACTTTAGGGTTTTAATTATGGATGAAGCCATACAATTCTGGAAGCAAAGTATAGCAAGCAGCCAAAAATGTTACACATATGATTTTATTCCAAATGGGCACATTGGCCAAATGGTGAGGCCGTGTGTAGTAACATACTTTGACCACCTTCTCCATCACCATCAAAAGAGAGCTGGGAAATATGTTATTTTAGATGTGAATTTTACGTGTTGACTGTGGTCCCAGTAGGGCAAACTCAAATTGTTCCTTGTTTCTATAATGACAAATAGTTTTGAGTTGGATCTAAATACATTATAGGTACTTTTTGGTGTTACAGGATATCCTTACAAAGACAAAAGAAAGCAAGCTACACATTGTAGTTATTACTTCTTGCACAAAGTTGACCTTAAAATTTCTTCTGTGGTCATTGATTTTATGGTTGGTGAAAAACATGTAGCTTAAGCAAAGTCACATTTTTCTCATTTAAAAAAGAATCCATATGCTAGTTATCCAGCTAACATGGGTTTAAAAGATGGTGTTTCATTCTATTTATTACTCATAACAAAGATATTTTAAAAATAAAAATTATGAAATTAACGCCTTTTTTGCAAGGATGGGACCAATCTCTACAGTCAAGTAATGGAAACTTACCTTTAAAAGACTAAGATTCCTTTTAAAAGCAGTCTCAGCTGCTTGCATCTGAGATGCCTTTCCCTTGTTTAAATCTCCAAATTTACTCTCCATTTTTTGAAGTAGCATTAATCTTTGTGATACTCTAGAAAAAATGAAGATTACATAAAGTTTTTAAGAAAGGAAATATTTTATTGTTTGGCTAATATAAAAAGGTGATTAATCATATCTCACTCCAAGCTCAATCTATTTTGGAAGCCAATTACTATGACAATTAATAAGACACTGAAAAATGTGGGTAGCTCAACAAGTCTTAAATCTGGGTAAAATTATTTTTATTTTCTTTAACATACATACCACAAGTACATGCTTCTGTTTTTTAAGCCTCTGTGGTCTTTTGAAATTATTTTAGAGTGGTGAAAATGCAAACTGTAATACATACCCCTTTGTACACATACTTATATATACCTCCCCACATACATACATTGATATAACTTGCTATACGAAACCTTCTGCTTAACACTTCAATACCCCTGAAACTCATGTTACACATTTAGAATTGTGCTAAACTTCCATATGCTTGAGGAAGGAATAAAAATATATATATATATTTTTCCTTTTCCCAAGAGAAAGATGGTGGTTCCATATATGAGTGAGAGGCTGTGTTATGTGTGTATGCATACTTGAAAGGTAAAACAGTAACTGAAGAAAGATGTAAAAAGTTTTAAGTAAATTATCAAACCACTTTATTATATATAATACGCTTTAGAGGTTTCTTACTGGCCAAGTGCTCATTTTACAAGTTTTTGGTCCTCTTAAATGATTGAATAAGAAAATATGTCAGATAATAAAGGATACATAAGTGGTATATGTAGTAGTCTAACCATTTCCCAAATAGTTCATATTCTCGAGAAACATGACGTTTTATAGGGCCATTCTTGAAGTTAGAACTAAATTGAGGTATTTGAACAGTCATTTTTGTAAAGAAAATATCTCAGCCCAGGAAGCAGACCCGGTAATTAAAGAAAAGGAAAACATGAGAGCCCACAGACAGAGATGGAGAAAGGTTAATAATAAATGCAGGTGCAGGACTAGCTATATAATTTGCAGGGTCCAGTGCAAAATGCAAATGTGAGGCCCTTGTTAAAAAAAATATTATTACGAATTTCAAGACAGCAACATTAGAGGATTAAACCAAGTGCAGGGCCTGTGACTGCCTAGGCCATACACCCATGAATCCAGCCCTGGTTAAGAGCCTTAGAGAAGTCTGTTAAATATTAGTTTGAAGCCTAGAAAGGTGAGAGGAAAGGTGAAATTATCTATGTATTAGTAATGAAAAATAAAAGGTACAGAACATAAGTATACCTTTTAATCTTTGCTATTCTTGAAACAGTGGCATTTCCTAACACTAAAAGCTCAAGCGTCAGAAAATTAAAATGAGTTTCAGATTTTTAAGTCTCCCTGTGCACAGGGTTCCACTAATAAAGCCAGTACAATTTATACATTTAGAATAGTTAAAAAACAACAACAACAACAAAACTTACATCTCTTCATGTCTTTTAGAAAGGCGGATTTCTTGAGTGAACAGGGAAGTCATCTTTAGTCAGAGCTGCCTTACAAACTTTCTGCTAAATAAAAAATATTTGAAGTTACTTCTACCATGTATCCTCAGCTTGGCAACATTTGATACCTCCACCCACTTGTTCTCTCAGAAGAGAAAAATACAGCTTGAGATGTGATGTATAAAATGAAAGCACTTAAATATTTTTATTTACCATGCATAGTTTTTCATATGCCAGATTCATCCAAGAATACCGTGAATCAGGTAAACTCAACATATTTCACATTTTCCCTTGTTTCTCCCTCACACTTTAACCTTAATCATAAATCAAAACAAACAAGCAGCTGGTACTAAGACTAGTAAACATTTTATTGATTCAACAAAGAAAAAAATTCACTCTGTAAAATTCATCAGCACAGGAACACCACCCCTCGTGTGCGCGCGCGCGAACAAGTAACTGGAAACTCACGATCTTTTCTTCGTTGGAAGACTGCCCAGTTTTCTCTCTTTTCCAAATAGGAAAGCATTTCCCGTGTGTAACTGTGAGGAAAAGCACAGTCGGCCCCTTCCCCTTACCTGGGTTGCTCGGGACTCTCGTCGGGGCAGTTTAGGGAAGCCTGTTTTCATGGCACGCGAGTGAGCCTACCTTGGCCCAAGAGCCTGGGCCAGTACGGACAGCGGTCCGGTCAAGGGCTTTCAAGACTCGGAGCCTGAAACCGAATCATCGGGTTGGGTGCCGAAGCGCAAGGCGCCGGCCCTACTGGAGATAAAAACCAAAACGAAGCGCTGGCTCTCCTAAATTTTATGAGTTAAACACCAGCTGTCCGCTAATGGCCTGAGTGCCCAGCGCCGACAGAATGTGCCCGTCACGCACGCACCGAGCGCAGCGCGCCGCGCCCGGCCGCCGACACCGAACCGCCCGGCCCCTCGGCTTCCCGCCGGGCGCCCCGGTCTGCCGTCAGCACCGCGGACAGCACTCGCTCGCCCGGGTCAGGTTACAACCGCTCCCCGCGGAGACCGCCCCAGGCCCGTCCTCCCGGTTCCGACATCAGCCTCAAGGAAACCTCGGAGAAGTTGGTGCCTGGTAACTTTTGCGTTACGCCCACTTTGAGCCCTGCAGACAAACCCAAGATAAATCTGCCTCTGAGCCAAAGATCTGCACCGCCTCAGCGTTCCCAGCCCTCCCTACGGCCACCCCAGCTGCCGCTAACACCCCGAGGACTCCGGAGCTTGCTCATCGCTGCAGCTCGGCCCCTTCGCCGCGCAACAGGCAGGGCTCCGCTGCGGGCCTTCGGGCTGAGGGACCTCACTCACCGATCCGCACCGGCTTCTCCCGGAAGGGTGTCCGCGCAGGCGTGGGCGTGGCTACGCCGCCATCTTTGCGCTCGCGCGCCGCGACGTCACGCGCCCTGCAGGGCGGGCCCCTGAGCTGAGGTGAGGGCGCTGCTCCGCGGGGAGGTCAGCTGACGCCGCAGCTGCGCGCCCGGGGGCAGCACGGTTTCAAGGCCTCTCTAAGCGGCAACTGAGTGTGTTCGAAAGGTTCCAGAGAGTGAAGCTGCACCCTCAGGACCCTTCTGGCACAGTAGTAATGGGGAAGTGGGAAGCAACCCTTAAGTGGTCCGGAGGGTTAAAGAGGACGCTACAGTCAGTAGAAGCAGAAGCGCTTCAGCGAGCGTCGCCCCCGGCGTCCGTGCTGAGCGGAGGAGCGAAGCCCCTGCCCGCCTGCCGTTCGCTCTTGCCAGGGGCACAGTAATATCCTTCCCATCTTGAGTTTGTGCGTCGGTGGCTGCATTTACACGAGTCATCTCATTCACCGAATCCCGGTGGGATAGGCACCGTCACTCTCAGTTGACAGGAACCAGATGAGTAGTTTCTTTAGGTTGTAGCTTGAAGCCAGCAGAGCCTTTATTAAATTTCCCACAGCCCCCAGGACGCACGTTTTGGAGTAATTCTTACGTGCTGTAAAGTGCATTCCTGAACATTGTTTTTATCCCTTGAAATACCTTTGCGAGATACGTGATGCTTTCCTTAGTTTCACTGGAAGAAATGGGTCAAGACAGGTAAAGTTGTTCTCTACTGAATTGGTAAGGGCCTGGGAGCTAGGCCTGCAGGTCCAGATGTCATTTTTTTTGTTCCAGAATATTTACACAAAACTTGCCTGGATCTCCAGTTGAGGATGGTAGCTTCAACTCTGTGTTCCTTCTCCTGCTTTATTTTTTTCCACAACAGCATCATTCCACCTGTTTTATAATCACTTGTGCGTTTGTTTATCAGTACACCTCCTAGTAGAATTTGAACCCTGTAAGAACAGATTTTTGTTCTTCTCTTTGCTGCTGTATCCTCAGCAACTATAACTGCCTGACATACAGGTGCTCAGTAAATATATTTGAATGAACAGATGAAATAATTCCCCCGTAGAAACCGTAATGTAAGAGAGGGCTGCCTACAGTTCATAGGACCTTTAATTTAGCTGCGCCACAGCCTTAGTTATGATGAGAAATAGGCACTGAGTGGTCCTGTGTTCCAGGAATGAAAATGAGGCATTCTTGTTTATCTTTTATGTAAGTTTGCATCTAAGAATTTTTCTAATTTGGCAATGGGTTGTATGAAATAGAGAACTGAGTGGCTGCACATTAAAACATTGGTGTGTTGCTTAAATTAAGCAAACTTTGCTCACTTTCCTGATTTATGTAAATTTGCATAGTGACACAATTGGGACAAACCAAACTCTTTCACTGAACCCAGGTTTTTTAGGTCGATGTTGGTCTTAGCAGTGAACCAAGCAATACCCTGGAAAATTTCTTGCAGTTTTTAGGAGAATGATAATCAGGAATACCTGACAGATACTTAACATTATCTAGGTGGATAGTGATAATTTTATAGCTCCGATAAAAGTGCATACTCTCCACTTAAAGATCTGCTGCCATAGCTCCCCTCCTCATGACCACCCTGGGCTGATCCTTTTTGTGAGACACCTGGCTGTCTAGTAAGAATCTGGGAGTTGCAGTCTATTAATGTACAGCTTCTCTATTTATTAGCTGCATTTGGGTACTTTCTGGAATGAGGTCTTTATAGTCTACCATGCAGCTTACTGGGACATACTGACAATATGGAACAATACCTGGCCCATAATAGGGCCTTCTGTAAGTGTGTAGCAAAATTTATGTTTTCTAACTTTGGTCTAGTTCTGTTCACCAGTATATCAAAATTGTCTCCTTGGCCTCATTGTTTAGAAATCATTGTGTCCTTTAGTGATAAATTCTATAAATATGTATTAAACATCTCTTACGATACAGTCTGCCCTCAAGAGTCTAGAATATGGCTGGGCTCTTAAGATATGCACAAAAAGCTACAGGATGACAGCTGACAACAAAAAAGTGACTAATAGGTATTGAATGCTCATTCTGTACTAGGCTCTGCATGAATTACCTCGTCTAATCCTCATAACAACCCTATGAACAACGGTGCTTAGCTCTTACTGTCTCCATTTTTCAGTTGAGAAAACAGGCTTAGAGAAATGACTTACTTAAGATAACACTGCTAGTAAGTGATCTTCAGCTCGTTAGGTGTCACTAGTCTAAGTAGTTATGCACTTTACATTGAGAACATAATGTATTACACATGTATATATGTGTATACATATACAGAAGAAAGGGGAGAGCACCATGAGCTGGAATAGCCTAGATGACATTTTGGAAGACAGGTGAATTTTAAAAACTGGGTGAGATTTGGAAATCTTTTTTTGTAACGGGTGTGTCAGGTGGTGGGAAAGTGGGGTGTCTTCTAAGTGAAGGAGGAAGCATGCACAGAAGTATATGCATGAGAATATGTCTGGGTTGAGGACCAGTGGAAAGGAAGCAGTGAGAAGAATGTTCTCGCCTTCTTTCCCCCAGTTTTGAAGATTTCATTTCTGGTGTCAGAATTTAAAAACAGGTTTGACAGTAATAAAGAGAAGGAGGTATTGGAAAAGGTGAGACTGGGAAATAGAAAATAGATATGGGGACAGGAAAGAAAGGCTTGCAGATGAAGGACAAACTTTCAAGAGTAAGAATAAATAAAAGCATCACAGAATCCTTGACAATGCCAAAGACTACAAATTATTAACAATAAATTCTCTTAAGATTTCTATAGAGGCCATCTTTTCTAGACTTCCTTTGGGGGTACTTTGGTTAGACAAATACTAAGAAAATAAATCACTGATGCCTGAAATGGAGTTAGGAAATCCTAGTTTCAGGAAATTCAAGCTGAAACTTGAAGTGGGTCCAATTGACTGCGTTCCTTTCTACTTTGAGGTAAACTGATTAAAATTTTTCTTTTTTCCACAGCTAACAGATTGTCCATTTCACTATGGAAAAATATTTTACACTGAAAATATATATCCAAAAGTCTTTAAGTTGGTCCTTGATGGGTTTTGACCAGAGAGAATTTACACCCAGATACCTCTTCAGGATCTTTTGTCAATGAATCAACTGCCAATCTAGATCCAGGAAGATAAACCTCTGCAATAGAGTAGTCATTATCACAGCTGGTGCCTACATTGTAGATGTTCTTGGCTGAGACAAAGGCCATGCTGATGAAAACTATGCTCAGTCCTAGAGATTTCCGGCAAGAATTTCTGTAAGCCTTTTCTTTCATGGGAGAGAAAATTAAAAACCTCATTAGTTCTAAAATTCACTTGAGAAAGCATTAGAATTTTAAAATTGAAAGCAGGCATGATAATTCTTAGCAAATCATTAGTATGCTGTATACATAGTAAATATAGGTACTTCTTCCCAAATTTCAGTAATTTAAAGCTCTCACAATCCTTTGTCTTAAAACTGACACCTTTCCAGCTGTGAATAATGCATAAAGGCATTTTTTTTTTTTTTTGGTAATCCTGTTTCCTTGATTTCCCAGCAGCTTTCAATTCCCACAAGCCTTTCTTTTCTGTCCCCATTTCTATTCTCTATTTCCCAGTCTCATCTTTTCCGATACCTTTTTATTACTGTCAAACCTGTTTTTTTAAAAAAATTTTTTAAAGGTATTATTGATATACACTCTTATGAAGGTTTCACATGAAAAAACAATGTAGTTGCTATACTCACCCATACCATCAAGTACCCACCCATACCCCATGCAGTTACCATTCAAACCTCTGTTTTGAAGGTGTAGTGTCTCTGTAACTTTGGAGGCTTTTCTTAAAGTAGGCATTTTCTCGTTCATAGCATTCCTGCCTATTTTTCATAATTTTGTCCATATTTTTTTTTGCCCCTGTTGCTCTTATAATCCTGTAACAACTTTATCATTAACCCACTACTGAGTGAGTAAGCATTAAGAACCTTCTTAAATGCATACTTTACTACCTGCAAGCATTGTATTCTGCCATTCCTGTCTCTGCACAGTACTGTGTGACTGTGTTTATTAAGAGTGTTCCAGGCTCTTGTCATCAGCCAGTTTTTCATCATCATTGTAATGTTTGCTATATGCATCGACTTGAAAACTTAGAGAATTTCCTTTGAAAAAACAAAAGTTGTAATTTTACTGAATTGCAACTTCTTTGTTTCAGGATGATATATAAAAACATAGTCGAAAGATGTTGTGGTTTAATGTGTTTGGGACAGATAATTTAAAAAAATCTATACCCTTCATTTAGAAGAGAACAGCATAAGACAATGTTTTACCTAGATTTTTTTTAACATTTGAAATGAATACTTTTTTTTTTTTTTGCTAGAGCATGAGGTCTTACTTTCAAATCAGATTTTCTCCTAAGTGCCCCTTTGGTATTTATTGCTTTTCAGAAATGACTTAAATTGAAAGCTAAGTGATAGTACTGATGGTTTTATTCTTTCACACATTCTCAAACTTGGTTACAAATGCCACTTTTAACATAAGAATACTAAGAACTTTATTAAACATGTACTTGGGATTTGGCTAATTTTCATAATCATATCTGTCAGAGGAAGAAAGTTCCTGAGCCTATTTCTGTATGGGTCTCCTTTTAGGGGGGGGTGTCTCTGAAAAAACACAAAGAGGAGGCCATAGAAATAGATTGCACTTTAATTTTTTTAAAGTTTTTGATGTATTTCCCAGGTCCCTTTGTGTATAAGGTTGCTCAGTGGTTTGCACTTTCAAAAATAATGTTCTTGATAGATTAAATGTGAGTTCACAGCGTGGGCAGCGTAAAGTATTTGCTGCCAGTGGGTATGTTAATTGTACTTTGAAAAATTGAATGAAGTTATCCTTTTGCAGTTTTGTTGTCTGAAGAATGTTTGATATGAAATAAGGGTTAAATGTGTTGGTTTATATGCCTAAAATTTTGAAGAATAGTGGAGGGGAAGAGAAATGGATTCATTTTAACTCTAGATGGCAGTTAAACACAGCTAACAAAGACCTGCTTGTTTGAAATAAAGAAACACAGAAAATAATAAAAACACACATTCTGTTCTTTCATCCAG